GGTGGACAGTTAACCACTCTTTGAAGGGTAGTGTTATCACTTGAGATAGAAGCTCTCTGAGCATTGGTGAAGGTAAGAAGCAGGTTTTAGAAAAAATAAATTTCTCTGAGTGCACCTCATAGGTAATATGTGATAAGACATTTGCATATTTTGAGAAATTCCATGTCTGGTTTACAAGTTATTCCAAAGAGCCCACATTTTCAATGAAAATATCACACATCACATGTTGATACTATTGTTTAGGAGACCTGCAAATACAACATTCAACTATTGGAAGTGTGGGAGCAACAATTTTGTTTAATGCTATCTTGTCTAGAAAGTTCAGAAGGTCATTCCCAATTGAATTTGGTGTGTGCTTTTCGAAAGTATGAATTCCTATGAGCTCACATTTGCTTCACGCAAAACAAATCATCACAACGCAGATTATTTTTCTTTGTGAACGAGTGCAGTCCTGAAGTCCCATTTTTCTGTTTTCTATGAGACTGTTTTGGAGCTCCCAGTTTTCTCGGAAAATCATAGCCCTGATTATCCATGCATTAAAGCTCCCATTTCTACGATTGAAACAAAATCTCACTTGGTGATACACACAAGAGACAAGCTCTTTATATTATTTTGGATGAAAGTTCAATCTAGGAAATTGTTTCATTTCGGAGCAAGACTTTTAGTAAATGGATGTAATCAAATAGAGTAGCGGAGAACAACTTCTTCTAGGACTCTTAGGCATGCAAGGACAAATTAGAATGACATTATGATGTTTCAGGGAGTAGCTTTTCATGGGCCAGTGTGTGGAAGGATCCATTGAAGCTTCTTTCAAGGGAATAAGTGTCAAGGAGCACTGTACCTATGGTTTTGTCTGGCTATACTTCAAGATGTTGCTTCTCAGAATCCAATTGTCAACTATTATATTATTTTCATGTACTGCTATTTGGACGTCAACATTAAATGAGGTTGAATCTTAAAAGGCTTCTGTAGGTGTGGATGTCTTTGAACGAAACATATATTCTGCATGTAAAATGTCCTCCACATTTACCTGTCCTTTTTCTCTCATTCCTACCTGAAGTGGCTTGTAGTTGTTCTGACATGCATAAGGTTTTGTGCTCTTATTGGCTTATGTGTTCTCTGTGTTGCCTCGTTGGAAAATAAGTACAGACATGGCCTAGAATTAGATGGAACTAAGTGAGGGAAGATTACCAGAAAACTTAAGAGAGGAGCAGTGTCCCAGATGGTTATTTATTGCCTATGAGATGATGGCACTATCCAAGTTGTATGTGAAGATTAAACTTTGAAAGATGACTGCCATTCCCATCGCAGGCAATTCACGTTTGATACAACTATGTGCAAATTAATGCAAGCATTATGCAGTAGCAAAGGATACATCAAAATAAAGTTTGGCTTGAATTAATGTATAACTGTAAATATTCAGTTTGATTGTTGAATCCATAGGTATTCATAATTTATTTGGAGAGGAGAATATTTCTTGGAATATTTTAACAAAATAATAATTCCAACTCTTGACTTTCGGTTCACAGTGTTCAAGTAAGAAGCTGTTTAGAGTTGCACAAGAGGCTTTGTTGAACGGATGTGTTTGATGAGCCAAGTCATGTTTTCTTATGATTATGAGTTAATTATTAGTTCAAGCAAAGTAGCATTTTTTCACATTTCAAAATAACTATCCAACTATTTTGATGTGTGGTGGGATGATAGGCCGATTCCTCAAACAATTAAAGAGAAATAGAGAGCTCAATTTTCTGTTTTCTGGACCATGTGTATAAATATAACTACCATGATTTCTGTTTTTTATTTTTAAAAGGATAAATTGATGAACAATTTTTATTGGAAACAACATTTTTTTGTTGATTCACAATTCCTCTCCTTTGTTGAGTTTGCACTCCCCGACTCTCACTGTGTAGAGAGATCATTGAAACCATAATCTTTACACCCTGACAGATGTACACGGAGATTGGAGGCACCAACACATAGCAGCCTGAAGGTTAATACTGCATTTATATTGCAGTTTGGTGGCGTGTTACTGCAATTTTAAACATAAATCGGTCTTCTTGCTCCACATCACTATTCTTCTGGGAGCCAAGTCGCTTTGGTCCTGACAATATAAATGATGGATAAGATGCACCCTCTCCACTACAGGTGCCTATCTGGGAATATTATTTTGGAACACACTTTTGTTATATATAAACAAAGCAATACATACTGTTTGCCTCCCCTCTATCAAACTCTTATTCCTTAAGGGGCTCTGCTTGTTCTTTAATACTTTGCCTGCAAAGAATGCACTCAGATAATCTCTTCATTTCCCTTAACGTTCTTCGTGAGTTGATTTTCCAATTTTCTCTTGTCACTCATGATTATTATTTTTGCTTCTCTTTGCATTAGTTTTCCAATATCTTCCGTTCCACTTTTCCTTAAATACAGTCGTTTGGTGACTTTTACTTTTGCGCTCACTGTAACTTTTCGACTTAACCATTTAGGTCTAGGATTTGATTTTATCGTCCTACTTCAATATGGTACAAATCTTATTCCTTCTTGTATATCTTTAAAAAAAATAAAAACTTTCCGGTCAACTTACTGCCATTACCTTACATTCAGCTCTCCTGAAACTTGTGTTTTGTAAATCATGATATCTTGTATTACAAGATTGAATCTGGCATTTTGACATTAGGACTCGAATGTGCTCCAATCACATCGCCTCCTCTGAATCTCCTACATTTCTGCCTGAGGGCAACTCTGTTTGGTGGAAAAAAAATTGCTATTGTATCTCCCTTGCCTGTTCCTTGTAAACAGCAGAAGGTAAGTAAGTTCCACCGCACTGTCAGTCATTAAGACTTATGTTGACAAGTGATTGGAGTGAAACAGCATCAAAAAGACTGGTCAATTATTTCTGTCTAACCAGAAGACAAGAGGGTAGAGACTAGTAAGTTGATCAATAGTGCGGGGCTCATGGGTTGGTATTGCTTCTACTGCATAGGAAGGAATCGTTTGGTGGGGATTTATAGTTATTCCACCAGAGTAGTGGCTTATATTTCAAACAGGCTTCCCTTAGGATATATGTAATATTGTTAGTTGTTGCACATTAACAGAGATACATTATTATTGTGGATCTCTCCTCCAGTAAACATTGTTTAGTGCTTGAAAGGAGAACATTGTAAATATTTGCCTAAGCTGTAAATCCTGACCTAGGCATACCTTTCCCTAGCATAGTAAATGAATGCATTGCATTTTAGATTCTGTATTATGCATTAATGTTACTACTTATAAATATGTGCTTTCTAAATTGCTGCGATCCTGGTAACTTGAAACCTGTTTTTCTAAAGTAAATCTCCCGCCCCACCACCATGGATTTACTTTAGAAAAACCACCAAGTTTCTTCTCTACTGAAGTATTTTGATTTATTTTTACATTGTTTTTACTTGTCATACACGCATTCATAACATCCAGGTTCAACTGTGCAAACTCCCTGCTTGTCAGCCTCCCCACCCCCTCCCTCCAAAGGCTACAGATCATCCAGAACTCTGTAACCCGTGTCCTTTCCTGCACCAGGCACCGTGACCCTATCACCCCCATCCTCACCTGACTCCACTGGTTTCCTATCACACACTGGATACAGTTCAAGATCCTGTCCTCACTTTCAAAGCTCTCCATGGCCTTGCTCTCCCCTACCTCTGCGACCTCCTAACCCGCTACCATCCTGCTCACTCCCTCTGCTCAGCAGATTCCGGCCTGCTTCACATCCCTCGCCTCGCCCGTCCCATCATTGGCGGGCAGGCCTTGAGCCACTCTACCCCCACCCTCTCGAACTCAATCCTGCAGTCCCTCCACCTCGCCCCCTTCCTTGCCTCCTTAAGACCGGTCTCAAGACCCTCCTCTTCGACCATGTGCCTTCGATCACCCTCCTTCCCCACCCCCCGCCCTCCACTCTCCCTGATCCCGACCCCCAGCTCCGGTTCAAAACACTGATTGTCCAACGCCTTGGGATGTCCTCCTGACATGAAAGGCACGATACAAATTAATTTTTTTTCCCTTTCCAGTGGCACTACAGTTTGTTGGGTGCTTAAGCATCCTCTGATTTCTTGTTCAAGTGGCTATTGTTAGCAGGCTATTGAAATGTAGATTGCTTCACACCTGAGTCTGATTCCGTCCTCCCCCAACAGCTACATATGTGCCCCTAATAAGGTAGCGAACAGGAACCCTGGTTTACCTTCTCCTCTGCATTCAGGTTAACTCTCATTCTCCTGTTGCTTCTTTGACTGAGATTAGAAAACTCAGCATAATCCGGGGATCGAACCAGGGACGTTAGCAATCCACATGGCTTAGTTACTTGCTGGGTAAACTGAATGAGCTATCAAGTGGGGATAAGTGGCTTCAACTTGGTTGTATCATCATTGGAGACAACGGGGTACACAATGTTGTTGAAGCTAATAGCTCAACCTGCATTTTGGAACCCAATGTGGTATTTTTAAAAAATTGGAATGTAATATCAGAAAATAATGCAATTTACAGAAATGATTTGTTTTTCAGTAAGCTCCATTAATTTAGAATAGCTCTTAAAAACTGATGGTAATTCTGATGGTAACTCTTAATACTGGTGGTATTAATAATGTGTTGCTATAGTTTGCTAGTACATGCATGAAATATGATACACTAAGTCAAATTAATCTTTCACTCCATGGTTATTTGTGGACTGTTGCTGTGGGCAAATTGGCTGCCGTGTTCACCTACAAAACATGCAGTCAAAGCATTTTATAATATATCCTGTGAAATGCTTTGGGACATCTGCTTGCGGTGAAAGACGCAAAGATTATTAGTTCTTAACATTCAATATGGCAATGTGATCAATTACCAAATAGTTTAAGTATAATTCATACCATCAACTGATTTTCTTTCTTGATTGTGTTACTAGACAAATAAAGCGTTCATAAGATAGTGTGCGAGAAACTTGCTTGAAACTTGTCTTTCTATTAAAATAAACTTTTGTTCAATCCTTACAGTTACGGGACACCAAGTCAGCTGACCAAAAGATGACATTGCTGCACTTTCTGGCTGACATCTGTGAGGAGAGGTATCCAGATGTGTTGAAGTTTACTGATGAACTCATTCATCTGGAAAAAGCCAGCAAAGGTGTGATTCTTAAAGTGTGCAATAAAAACATAGCAACTGACAGTGTGGAGGCAATAAATTGATTCATTGTTTCTAACAGGACAATTAGAATTGATAACATACTTTCCCATTGGAAACAATCAAGATGAGTCTTTCAAGTAATTTAAAATGCTTTGCAAACCTTATAAATGTGATCAATTTTAAACCCAAAATAAGAACCATGTATGGATCATACAAAGGGCAGATGGACTTTCAGCCATTCTGCTCCCACTTTCTGGAACTCCATCCCAGAGTCCTTCTGTCTTGCCCATTTTCTCCCCTCGTTCAACGCCGTCTCAAAATGTATCTCTTCGATCATCTTTGGCCTTCCCCACCCCCTCTCAGCTCCCATCCCCAGCTAAATTGTATTGCATCATGAGCAGTTCAGAAACAATGGAGAAAGAATTGCAGAAAAAGCTGCCAGAGTTACACTAAGACACTGGAAGCTGGTTAATAGACTAACAATATATTTGTGCTGCAAGTTTGGAATATTTGTTGGCATATGATTAGTTAACACCTCATTCAATTTTTTGCTGTGGTTGTTTTTGGTGGCAAGTGCTGGCTCAGTAAAGAAAGTCTTCGGAACCTTTTTGAACAGCCTAAGGTGACTGAGTGAGGTTTACTGTAAGATGCAAGACCAATGAGATCTTCAGTTTCTTTGCACAGTGCGGTCTCTTTCCTCTAAATGGAATTTATTGATAGGATCTTTTTGGCAATGGCCTTCAAAGTTCAATATCAAGGATTCTAAGTATGACGACTAAAGGTAGTCTAAATAATAGGAAGTCGCCTACCGTTTATTAGGGTCATGTGATTGGAATGTCAACAGTGACGACACATTTACATTTATACGACTGCTTACATATCGTCACATCAGGAGGACATCTCAAACCATTTCATATTGATAGCATTTCATTCCTTGCGCCCTAAACATTACAAGACTGGTAGTCCAAGCTGGGGGGCGAAGGGGAAAATTGATGTGGGCGGTGGGGGGAGACAGCTGAGAGAGAGAAGTGCCCAGAAGCACAAATTAAAAGATTGGTCTTAAGGCAGACTTTGAATGCGGGAGGAGTAAAGTTGAGGGACGTTCCAGAGCGTGGGGACCGAATGACTGAAAGATCATCCATTGATGGTTTGGCAGAGTGGAGGTGGGGGGAGGGGCAGGGAAGGAGGGACATGAAGCTGACCAGTGTTTGTTTTAAAGTTACAATTATGACCTGGATGTCAGGAGTTCATGACTGTAAAATTTGGCCCAATTGGACGTTTTAAATCTTGACTATGGAACCAGGAAAACTGGAAAATTTATGTGGAAGCAACTGTTGAATTTTGTGTCATAAACAATTCTTCTGCTATATAAATGAGTTAGGAGATAGCATTTGCCAAGATCAAATTATTCTTTGAGATATAATATAGAATGACCATTATCTGTGTCGTTAATTACGGCACTTTAAACCTGGGAACTTATTTGAGTATAGCACACAAGTGAGAAGGGGGCTTAAATTGGTCCAGGATTGAACTGATGTTGCAAAGTGAATTAATTCATCTGTCAAGGTAATCGGAAAGCAGTGAAATTTACCAAGTCAGCAATGGTTGCTGGCTTCCTAAATGAAAGCCATGATGGAACGAACTGTTGGTATGCAAATACTGTCTATTACTCTATCAAACTTTATAGGAGATGACAGAATAACACAGATGGGCCAACTCTTTTCTCATTCTAACCATCGGGTTTATAGGCAAGGTGACAGTATGTAGTAGCATTGCAAATAGAGATGAGATGACTTTCCTTGCGGCCTAAAAATTGCAAAAGCAGTTCATGGCAGTCTGTTAGAAGACTATTAAAATCTGCAGGGATGTAGCAACTTCTATCCAAAGAAGTGGGGAGAAAGGGGGTGTAGTGGGAGAGGAAGACGATGAAATAAACTGCTGTAGAAGGCTTCATAGTCGAGTAGCAACAGAAACTGCAGTGGCTCTTAGTTAAAATGTCGCTGTGCTTGTCCAATCCCCAGTGGGACCTTTACTGATGCAGCCTTGATTTTTTTTGATCAATATTTATCGTGCCTCAGCTCAACTCAGGCTTCCCTGGAGGCAGTTTGACTGACTATGGAAAGGTTGCTTTCATCAGTTTTTTTTTTCCTGCTGCATTCTTGCAAATGTTATTGTCTCAGGGCTACTCTGTCCTGAAGGGCTTGAATATCTTCTGTTATTAACCTCAAGAAACACCATTGCTTTTACAAGATTAGAACACCGCCAAAAGTAATATTCTGTCCCGTATATAATTTTTTGTTGCCAACAACGGGTAAAGTTTCTGACTGATATTCAGTGTTTACAGGTAATGAATCTCTTCCCCTCCCCCCACATGCAAAAACAATAACCAATACACACACATTCACTCTAAAATGTTTTAAAGTGAAAGGGCAAAGTTGTTTTGCACTGGGAGCTGCCCATTATATTTTGTTCATGTCTGGATAAGCAATCTGGTCATGGCAGTAGTTTCATCTATCACAGTTATAGCCTCTGAGGTCAATGCTCAGTTCTCAGGGTTGGTTCTTTCCAAGGTCTATCTCCTGGGAGTCTTTCAAATTGGGGCAGTCAGGATGAAGAAGTGGCCAGAATAATTTTTATGTGCTTACGGCTATAATAGCTTCTGTACATGTCTGAAGTGCTGGTTCCTGACCTTTTTTTTTCTCTCTCTTTTCTCGTATCCCTGATTTCAGTTTCTGCTGAAACCTTGCGGAAGAACTTGAAACAGATGGACAGACAGGTGCAGCAGCTGGAAAATGACATTATGACGTTTCCACCGCCAAACAGCGAGCACGACAAGTTTGTGGAAAAGATGACAATATCCTTTCACGGTAGACTGATGGCCAAATTTGTTGCGAAGCTGTTTTAAACTTGTCGGATTAGCTTGCACACGCACCTGCGGATTCTCCTAGCTCTTTTTTCAGCTCCTGCAGGGCTAGTTTGAATTTCCATTAACATCAGCCCGCATCCCCAGTCTTAATCTATTAGTGTGACTATTTCCAGATTTCTACACCTTCACGATGAGGTAATGCACTGACTGAGAGATCAAGTTAATTTGGACTGATCTGATTCAATTTAGCTCAGGCTCTCCACTATTTTTCACAGCAGCCAAGCTTTATTGCCAAAAGACCAGCTCGATGCCGATTATCATCACTATGATATTCCTGTTTTTCAAACTATTATGTGAGGAAATAGCAATGCAAATCACAATTACTGTTTCCATTGGGATCGTATTACAATGAGAAAGATGTTGTGCAAAGTAGCTTCCACAACCATAGTTGTTCCATGGTACATTTTTACCATTGGAAGTGAAGTGACTTTGCTTCTTAACAAACAAGCAAGGTAGAATAGGGAACTTGATTGTTTATTTCTTGCTCCACATTGTGTCACATCTGAACAATTGAAAACCCTCAGTTATGCAATTCAGCTCTGAACGTGTTGGATTTATTTACAGTTTTAACATCGTTGCTTGTGTGATTCAAGAATGATCCCCTGTAAGTTCAAGCCCATCGATGGAGCAATTGCAAGTGACCATGGGGCAGTGGAGCCCAATTCTATTCACACTCGTTCACTAACAACAACAACAACAAAATTACATTGATAGAGCGGTTTTCACGTCGGGAGGACATCCCAAGGTGCTGGACAGTCAGGGGTCAGGACCCGAGGATGGAGGAGAGGTGGGGTAGGGATGAGGGAAGACAGAGGTGGGAGGGCGATTGAAGGCACGATCGAAGAGGAGGGTCTTGAGACCAGCCTTGAAGGAGGCAAGGGAGGAAGCAAGGTGAAGGGACTGTGGGATGGAGTTCCAGAGTGTGGGGGCAGAGAGGCTGAAAGCTTGGCCACCGTTGGTCGGGCAGGAGACATGGAGCAGGCTGGAGCCCACTGAACGGAGGGAGCGGGCAGGTTAGCAGGGAGTCAGCAGGTCAGAGAGGTAGGAGGGGGCAAGGCCATGGATGGCCTTGAAAGTGAGGACGAGGATCTTGAATTCAATCCTCTGGTGGATGGGGAGGCAGTGGAGTCGGGTGAGGGTGCGAGTGATGGGGTCACGGAGCCTGGTGCGCGAGAGTACACGAGCTTCAGAATCTGCAGCTTGCGAAGGTAAGAGTTGGGAAGGCCGATGAGGAGGGAATTTCCGTAATTGAGCCTTGATGTGACGAATGGGTGGGTAAGGGGTTCGGTTGCCTGAGGGGTGAGGCAGTGCCGGAGTCTGACAATGTTGCGGAGGTGGTGGTAGGCAATGCCGGTCATGGCGCGGTTGTGGGGAGAAAGGTCAGTTCAGGGTCAAACAAGACACCCAGGTTCCTGACTGGCTTTGTGATGTTGAGTGTGCAGCCGTGGATGCTGTTGCTGCCAGCGCCTGAGGTGTAAGAGGCCTCGTCCAGGACTTGATGTTGGACAGGCAGTCGGCCAGTAGTACTGGAATTGAGGGTGGAAGCAGCGATAAAGTTGGGTGTCATCCGCATACATGTGGAAATTTACCCCATGTCTAAGGATGATGTGACCAAGGGCGATAATGTAGAGGGTGAAGAGGAGGGGACTGAGGACAGGCCCTGAGGAGCTCCGCACAAGACGGTGCGGGGACTGGAGGAGAAGCTGTTTGCTGAGACAAAGTGGAGGCGGTGTGAGAGGTCGGACCTGAACCAGTCAAGGACAGAACCTTGGAGGTTGAGGTGGGAGGAGAGGCGGTAGAGGAGGATTGAGTAGTCCACAGTGTCTAAAGTGACGAGAAGGCAGAGGGAACCCTGGTCACACATGGTCAGGATGTCATTTGTGACCTTGACTAGAGCAGATTCTGCTCTGTGGGCAGGACAGAAACCCGATTAGAGGGGCTCATGAAGGAGTGGGAGGAGAGGAAAGAGCGAAGCTGCGAGGCAACGGGTCTCTCAAGGACCTTGGACAGAAAAGGAAGTTTGGAGATGGGCTGATAGCTGTGATGGGTCAAGGGAAGATTTTTTCAAGTTGGGGGTGATAGTGGGTGTTTTGAGGGGGGAAAGGAACAGTGCCGGATGACAGGGAGAGGTTGATGATGTCGGCCAGTAGTGGAACAAGGAGGTGGAGCTGGGATTTAAGGAGATGGATGGGGTCCAGGGAGCAGGTGGTGGGCTTCATGGAGGATATGGTGGTGATAAAAGAGGAGGGGGTGACCGGTTCAATGGTATGGAAAGAAGGATGGGTAGTGGTCGGAGTGTGCAGTGGAGTAGGGAGGGAGTGGAAGTTGGGAGGGCAGTGGCAGCTGAGTGGATTCCCTCGATTTTGGACTCAAGGAAGTCCAGCATTTCCTTGCAGTAGGAGTCGGAGGACAGAATCTGTGAGGCGTGGCGGGTAGAGGAGCCATTTGGTGGCGGCGAACAGGAGCCTGGGGTTGCCCTTCGCCTCCAGGATTAACCTGGAATAGGAGGACGATTTGGCCGAGACGAGAGTGGATAACGAAAAAGAGTCACTACACTTTACAGTATGTCCTGTAAAGCTCTTTGAAACTTCCTTCTGTCTGAAAGGCACTACATCAAATGCAAGAATTATCATAATAATTATTAATATTATTACCGTTTTGATGCAGTGTGCTGAATCAAACTACTATTCGTAATTGCCTCATCCAGGTGATATTAGGAGCAGAGCTCCAACACAATTTGTTCTGGCTTAACCTTGTGTTATACTGCATTGGTTTGCTGCAGTGGTTTACAATAAATATCTCCATTTATGTGATCATCAGAATTCACAAGTGCAAGTTTTATTGGACATACCGGTTTAGAGATGCAGGTTTTAAAATGTACGCACCAGAAATTTATATTGAAAGGAAGTGTTGCATTTCCAGCAAATTACAAAATTGTTATTCTCTTGTATTATATGGAAACATAGCAACATAAATAGACCATTCATTCATTCAAGCCTTCTTTGCTGTGTTGCACACATGAGGTAGAAGGGAATACAGGGTTATGGGGGCAGGTTAGGGAGGGTGGATGGAATTGGGCCAAATGACCTGTTTCAGTGCTGCTGATTCTATTTAATTCTTTGTAATACTGTTAGATCTGTGCTAATTCTTTTATTTCTTTTCCCCTCCTGTTTCCAAATCTTTGAATATTCTTAGCTACTAAGCATTTATTTAATACTAGCTGTATTTATTTAATTGCAGCTACGCTTGCAACCAAAGGATCCAATATGGAATGTAGATTTCAGTGATACCATTCACAAAACATTTAACATGTCATAAACACTGTGTGCACACCTTAAGCAAAATTACCATATATTTTAAGTGCCTTGAGAGATCTTCCTCATGTGAAATCGATGTATATTTGTATTGTATCTTGACTGTAGACTTCTGAGGATATCCATTACACATTTTTATGATGCTTCGTGTGAAGATTTTTTTTCTGGGCTCCCTTTCCGTCAGTTTAGCTCTAATGTCCTTAGTCTCAATTGTCTAATGTAATGTAAATTGCCCTGGAATCCCCCAAAGAGTAAGAATTATTACATATGTGCTTTGTCAAATGCCCTTCATTATTCTCAACCCCTCAATCAGATTTCCCCTCACCCTCTTTACTCTAACTAATATAAGCTCATAAAAACATAGCCTATTATCATGGTTAGGTTCTATCACCCTGGTGAATCATCACTGGATTCCCTCCGAAGTCAAGCATCCCTTTCTTTAGTTTTCCCATGTTGATTGCCAAATTATTTTAAAATTGTGCATTGCAAATTTATGGGGAGGAATTCCACTGGGATCGAGAATTTGGCAAATTCTTTAATACAGTCAATTTTGAAGCCATTTTCTCTAAGCATTTTAAGAGCTGCAAAAAACTGACTTTAAAGTTAAGACTGAATTCAACAATTTGCCAAAATCTGAACACTCTAAAATGATATATAGGTAGAGTAAATGGAGACCGTGGTGGAATATTCTCTCCATTAAATGGAAGCACTTATATTTTCAGTATGATGTCTACACATTTGCTGAAAACTTTCAGTCTATGAAAATGAAATATTGAAGCATTGACTTTCAAGATAGCAGGAGGTAGCTGTCACATTTATTGTCATCTTTGAATAATATGTAGGATTGATCATTAATAGATTTTCAATCCACTCTATCGAGCAACAAAATGGAGCCTGCCTTTTTAATTAAATCCACTGTAAACTGAACAAATCTCCAGACCAGTGATGTGCATTTCAAAATTTTATTTCCCAAAAAGCTGCTTATTAAAACTATCTAACCCAAGTAAATTTCTATTTGTTACATTTTGGAGAGCTTTCTTCCATTGCATGGCAACCTTTGAAATCCTGTTATTTTGTAGCTTTTTAAAAAAAAAGCAAATGATTGCTTTATTTTTCTTAATGCTATTATTTTTATTTGACTAATCTGAAAATATATAAGATTGATATTGTGCCAAATAGTGTTTTTTTTGCAGAGGAGAAGCGTCATTTCGCAGTATGGTGCGCAGCATTCTGTTCATTCCCATAAAAGGTCACCATTGCAATGATTTCCTATACATGTGTGTAAGAGAAATGGAGGCTGTTTGTACCATCTCCACTGCTGATGAATCCCTGTAACACTCTGGGACCTGTGGATTCCCTAAATGGTGATTCTGATTTAAAAAGCAGCCTTAAGAATGTGTCAGTAGTTCGTCCGAACAATCTGAGGCTCTTTAAATAGTCAAATCATCTTACCGTTTCCAGACTGAGAATATTGCACAATGTAAGTCCTGTGTTTTTTCACTGTATTCCTGTTTCCCTGTAAATGCTTTTTAAAGCTGGAAAATATGGAATACCAGATGTTATTGCACCATTCTCAATTCAACATGGAATTTGTTTTAACAGTGAGAAATAGCT